TATTCCATTTGACCATTTGACATTTTACTATATATAACTTTTAATTCGTTTTAAAGAAACTTCTGGAAGAAATTTATGAGAAATCCAGTTATTGCTTTCAATCTTACAGATGTTTTGATTAATGGAAAATATAAATAGCTTTTTCTCCGTATCAAAAATTAAGTTTGGGGAGAATTTCTTGGCCGAATAAAAATTTATACGTTGCCATGGAGGTTGTTAAGGGCGCTTAAAAAAGTAAGGTTCAGTAAAGTTTGTTTTCCTCAAGTTATATACTGAATTTTAAAAAATGGTTTCCAGAATATGATTCTATAATAAATTTTAAATAAAATAAAATAACAATTTTTTTTTTGAAAAATTTGATAATTCTGAGGGGTATACCACCTTAAATGAATTTCCTAAAATATAGTTAAAAACAAAATAAAATTCCAATAAACTTAACTATAAAACACAAAATTAAATAAATTAAATTCGAAACTAAATGAGTTAAATTAAAACTATTAAAATTTTTTTTTTAATTCTTATAAGAGAAGAAAAAATATATAAATTCGAAAGATTTTTCAACTGCCACAAGAAAATGCGCTCGTTTTACGCAAATTTAATTTGCCTTGTCTTTTTTTCCCTAATTATTGTAAATAACACTTTGCAATTTATTTTAATAAGTATTTCATAAAAATAAGTGTTCGTAAAAAAGTAATTTAAGGTTTTACAACTATTTATACATCAAATTCAAAAAATGAGTAGTAAAAAAAGATGGTTAATCACATTTAATGATAATTTAAAGAAAATTTTTCCTTAATTAACGCAGATCAAAGATGAGCCCCTCAAATGTACTATTTGTCAAAGCCTATTTGATATTAGCTGGCGCGGACGGTCTGCAATTGAAGATCATTGCATATCTATCAAACACAAAATAGCATTGGATGCTTCTATATCGTCAAACAAAATCAAAAAGTTTATTAAGAGTCATAGCTTTGGTCAAAATAAATAAATAATTGCCATTCAAGAAAATAAAAGCCAATCAGGGTCGACGACACGGAGGGGGGGGGGGGAGAGTTCAGAACTTTTTTTTTTAAATCTTGATATAGAGGACTTTTTTTCACAAATTGATGATTGTGTCCCCCACTTTAAAACCCGCTTCGTCAGCCCTGAAAATTGCATTCCACACAATCAAACACAACCATACCTTTAAAAGTGCTGATTGTACATCAAAGCTAATAAAGAAATTTTATAATCCAAGGTTTGCTTGTGCGCGCACAAAATATGAAGCAATAATTGTAAAAGTGTTCAAGAAATATTGTGAAACTAACTCAGAAAATGCTTTATTAAAAGCATCATATGTGCCAATTCTTTCTGACGCATCAATCCACAATGACGTTAAAATGTATCCAATTTGGCTCGATATTTTGATGTTAAAGAGGGAGTGCAAATTCAGCTGATTAACATTGATTGCGTAAATGGAGAAAAATCAGGTATTTTTTCAGAAGTTATCTTTAGGTGCATTAGTGCTAACAGTATTTCTTCAATAGTTTTGACTATTTCTGGAGACAACACCAATACCAATTTCGGAGGTTTAAAACGAAACAGTAATAACAATATTCACAAAAAAATAATCTTTAAGCTAAACCGTGAAATTATTAGTATCGGTTGTAATGCTCATACTTTATCAAACCCAATAAACACTGCATCTTGTTGTTTATCTATTGATGTGAAGATAATTACTCCTCAAATTTTTTTACTCCTCAAAATTTTTTGAGGTCGGTGTGGAATTGCTAGGATTCTTAAAAGTTCGTTGGTTGACCTTACTTCCAGCTATTGGAAGAGTGCTTAAGTTATATCAGCCACTAAGATCATAAATTTTAAGCATAGAAAATACTCCGAAACTTTTATTTGACTTTTTCAATAATGAAATGGGTGAAATAGTATTATTTTTTGTTCACAGTCAAACCATTGATTTTTATAACACGGTATAAAAAAAAATGAGAAAGATGACATTCTGCTGCTGAACTTGCCGTAGTAATAAAGATTTATTGAAAGACCAGATAAAATCTAGAAAAGAAGAAAAATTTCTACCTTTTATGGTAAGACAGCATTTGCAAGTTACCGAAGAAAGTAGTCATTTAAAAAACAAATTTCTGAAAGAAGTAGACATTTTTTAAAGTGTCTGTCTAGAGTGTATAGATGAGTGGACGCCTCACTTTAATCAGGTTGAAATTTTTGAATGGTCTTTACTTAACTAAAATCAATAGAAATGAATGTAAATTCGAATGTAAATTCGATTTACATCGAATGTAAATTCGATGAAAATGAATTATTCGACGAAATTCGGAGAATTAATTTATATTGCACAAAGGAAAAGTTTTTTTTTTGGAACTAACAGTCTGTTGAATTTGACTAGCAATGGGTTAAAATTTTTTCTTATTTCGAAAATAATGACATTCCTCAAACCAATTTGTTAAAATTCGTGTAAGCCGCTCTATGTGTACCAGGTAAAAACACTTCCGTGGAGCAATTGTTTTTGATTCCCAATGATATTTGGACGGAAGCGAAATCCCAACTTACAAAGAAAACTTTGGCAGCTATTTTGTTCGTTATATTTAATTTAAGAAAATATAGCTGTTCAGAATTTGCAGAAAAAATTGAAAAAGAAGACATGTTGCTGGAAACAATTCATTCTTATGAAAAATATTTGTGATTTAAAAATGCAAATATTGTTTAATATTTTTTCCATAATTTAGTTTCTTCACATGCTGTTTTAAAATAAATAAATGAGTTTTTATTAAAACCCATTTAAACAAGGCCCGTAGGCAGGGCGGAAACGAGTGGGGCACGTGCTTCCCTGTGGTTTGTTTTGTTTGACTACTAAAAAACTGAAAACAAACATATATTCAAAAATTCTTAGAACAGCACAAAAAAGGGTAAGGCGAAACCGTCTTGAAAATATAAAAAATATAATAATCATATTATTAAATTTATGCAAAATCTTATCAAAAAATAGGTGAATATAGACACTAAAAAAAAATTGCCCTTGGGTGCCTTTATTTTTATTTTATTTTTGAAGCCTCTTGAAAAAGTGCTCCCTCTTTAAAGAAATGGTATTTATACATACCAAATACATTCCTTTTACACGTCTGGTATTTTTCAAATTTAAAACCTTATTGATAAAGTTGGTAAAGAAGTTAGAAAAAAGAATGCTATCCAAGTGATATCAGAAAATGCCTTGGCTTTTAAAGCAGCTGGGCGAATGTTGATGGAAAAGGGGAAAAATTTGTATTAGACACCTTGTGCAGCACACTGCATTTACTTAAAGTTGTATATATTACCTTGCAAAGCTTGTTTGGAGCAATAGATGGACTTGAATCCTTTTTTAATTGAAGAAAGTGGAAAACCAGTTCTTATGCATCTTATGCGGATTGGTGAAGAGCTTTTGGAGATCAAACGCCTAACTAACAAAATTTGCCATTAAAATCTTATGCTTGACTTGCAGTGCTTCTGGATATGAATTTAATCGGAGCTCCTTCAATCAAGTAATAATGAATAATATTTCAGTTTTTATATATTTTCGATTTCAAAAGAGATTTTCAAAGAGAAGAAATTGCTTGAAGTATGCAAAACTCAATAATTTGGTCTACATTATGTTCAATTTGAAACTGAAACACAGGGAGTTAAAGAAAAAAACAATTCAAGATCCCATTTGTTAGAATCATGTAGACTCGGGTGATGAATTGATCTCAAAGCTCTAAGATCCTAAGATTGAGGTCCATAAAGATCATGATGTACAGCTCTTGATGACCCTCATGAAATTGAAGAAGGTGAAGGGTTTCAACATAGAAAGAAAAGGGAAAAAAACAAGGTATAAGATATTAATTTGATGAAGTTTTTTTTATTTTTTACTTTAACAGAAACATATTTACTTCCTTTAGATAAAGAAAAAATTCCAATTTTTGATGTTGATGAAGAGAAATTTCCACATGCCGAAACGAAAAAGAAGATGTTGAATTGATAATTACCTTGAGGATTCTATCAGTATTACTAGTGCTAGTGACAATGGTGGTGATTTGTGGGTTATGACTTATCAGATTAGACCATTTTTATTTTGTAACACTATAATTCATAAACTTTTATAATTACTATTTTCTGTTATGCTTATGATTTTGGCGATACTAAAGTTAAAAAGATTTTACTTCAATGTTATTTTCATTATTTTTAAGTTTTTCTGAAAAAAAAGAGTTTTTCCAAATAAATTGAGGCTTACACTACAATCGGCTTGAGGCTTAGGTCTCGCCTCACATACAGGGAAACTTAATATGCCTCAAGTTTTTTTGAACCTTACCTCCGAACAACTTTTATATTGAAATTCAACAAATAACATAAGGATCGGCAAATATTAGTTAAAATTTGGGTTAAATGTTTACTAGTACTACTACTACTACTACTACTACTACTACTACTACTACTACTACTACTACTACTACTACTACTACTACTACTACTACTACTACTACTACTACTACTACTACTACTACTACTACTACTACTACTACTACTACTACTACTACTACTACTACTACTACTACTACTACTACTACTACTACTACTACTACTACTACTACTACTATCTAGTAGGGCGGAGGGTGGGGCTTTTTTATGCTTAAAAGATAGTAATATATAAAGAAAATCTTTTCATAAAATATAAAAAAACTTTAGCAGCATTGATGAACATCTTGATGAATTAAATTAATGGCATTTAATAACATAAAGTTCATTTATTATTTAATACTTGTAATTTCTAATGCTTGTTTTTAAAGTTTACTTTTTTTTTAAAGTTTTTTTTTTCAATTTTTTTATTTTTCCTTATTTTCTAAAAGTTTTTATAAAACTTTGATTTTTGTATCCATAAAAAAGATGTTTATCATTTGTAAAGTCAATTCAATCAAGTATAAGATTTATTGAACAATTAGTTTTAATATTATTATACATAAATAATAATTTTATGATTTTAGGCAGTTATCTAGTTAGAGATGTTTATAAGAATATATCTAATGAATTGGAAATCAATAGTCTTAAAACTAATCCAAAATATCCAAACAACCCTGATGCTATAGAGTTTACAGAAAATTTCGACTGTCCAAATTATACTTCAATTAATTATGGACAAAGAATATATGGATGGATTCAAGTAACACAAACTGGAGCTTATGGATTTTACAACTCCTGCAAAAGTGCTTGTGAACTTTATATAAGTCTTGATGAAGACTCGACTAACAAGAGCAGAATCATTAACCAAAAAAACTCAAGTCTTCAAAGTACACAGAATCAGTAAGATTTCTCATTACTAATTGATAAAAATACTTATTGAAATTAAAAATATATATATTTGTGTTGAAAACTGTAATTTATAAATTTTTCCTTAAATTTTAGTAATAAATTTTTTATCTTATGTACTGTTTCATTCAAGATATCTAAATGATTGCAATCTAAACTGTATTTATTTGAAATCCAATTCAAAGTATTATATTGAAGTTCTTATGACTGGTCATTCTGATGAAGATCATTTATCAATAGAGGCACAGCTAATGGGATCTCAAACATTTGTAACAACAAAAGCTTGGCTAAGTGATATAAAAATAGGTAAGGTTTTTCTTTTTATTGTCAAAGTTTATTTCATTATTATATTTCATGCTTTTCCTTTTTAAAAAATCTTCAAAATTTTATCCCTAAAAGATCTATTTCCAAATGGTTTCAAAAATTTTAAAATCTTTTTGTTGTTGTTGTTGTTGCACAAGCAACAATAACAACAAGAAGATATATTTTTTTTAATAATCATTATAAAAAAAGTAAAATTAGTAATAATAATAATAATAGTGTATATATATATATATATATATATATATATATATATATATATATATATATATATATATATATATATATATATATATATATATATATATATACAGTAGCGTCTAAAAGTTTGCGGACAGGCAAAAAAACAAAGAATTTTAATTATATTTCGGCACATACTTTACTAAAGCCAACATATCATATACCAATTAAAAGTTTTTCAAATTTACAATTAGGTTTTGAAAAAATAATTATTATCTAAATAATATTTTTAAATTGGTATACAAATCAACGGTCTTTGATAAGTTCAAAAATTTGCGGACAAAGCATTATTTTTTAAAATAGTTAAAATATTTCAACAATATTTGATCAAAATTTTTGCAAAAGCAAAATCACATTAGTATTTTGTAGGATACCCTTTACAATCAAGAATAGCTTGGCATCTATGAGGCATAGAGTCAACTAAATTAATGCAAACGTCAATGGGAATTAAGTCCCATAATTCTTTGATTTTATTAAATAAATCAGCATAATTTGTAGGCTTAATTCCTTTCATTCGACGGTCAACATGTTCCCATAGATGTTCAATGGGATTTAAGTCAGGTGATTGGGACGGCCACTTCAAAACATTAACTTTACTCTATTTAAAAAACTCTAAAACCGATTTAGCTGTATGTTTGGGATCGTTATCCTGTTGGTAAATCCATCCTCGAGGCATTTTATCCTTTGCATATGGTAACATAATAGTCTTAAATATATCTTTGTACTTTTCTTGATTCATATTCTCGGTAATTCTATGGAGAGGACCAACTCCATTTCGGCTAAAACATCCCCAAACCATTACATTACCTCCTCCATGTTTTACGGTAGGCAGTTGGTATTTAGGATTGTACCTAGTACCTACTGGACGTCGAACATACCTGATTCCATCGGATCCAACCAGCATAAAATTGCTTTCGTCACTAAAAATAATTTTTGACCATTTTTGACTACTCCACTTTAGATGTTTTGATGCAAACTCCATTCGGGCGTTACGGTTTTTCAAGGAAACTAATGGTTTTTTAGCAGGGCGTCTTCCGAACAAATTAGCGTGACGTAAACGACGTTTTTAGTAGAAATACTACAATTCATTCCATAGAAACGTCTCATTTGTACGTTTAAATCGACAGCTGTCAAACGGGGATTTTCTTTGCTTAGTATTACAAGCTTTTTATCCTGATAACGCGTTGTTTTGCGTGGCCTTCCTGATTGATTTTTATTCTTTGTAGATCTAGTAAGCTCAAATCTCTTCATAATTTGTCCAACAGCAGACTTACCAACTCCATAAGGCTGTGCTGTTTTACGAAACGAGTTTCCATTCCGAACTGATCTCAAGATCAATTTTTTTACTGGAGATGAAATACATATCTTAGATCCCATGATCTCAATCACTTATATATAAAGTTTTGAAATTATTTCCTCAAAGTATTTGTTTATAAAATCAACAAATTAGCTATTTTGTGGTGAAAATGTTAAAAGCGTTAGTTTGTCCGCAAACTTTTGAACTTATCAAAAATCGCCATTTTGTTAACCAATTTTAAAATGATAATTAAATATTCATTATTTGCTCAAAACATAATTGTTAACTTGGAAACCTTTTAATTGGTATATAATATGTTGGCTTTAGTGAAATATGTGCTGAAATTTAAGTAAAATTCCTTATTTTTTTGCCTGTCCGCAAACTTTTGGACGCCACTGTGTATATATATATATATATATATATATATATATATATATATATATATATATATATATATATATATATATATATATATATATATATATATATATATATATATATATATATATATATATATATATATATATATATATATATATATATATATATATATATATATATCATTATTTATATATGATCAATATAATGTAAACTAATTATTTGCAAGATAGATAATCAATCATATATAAAAATTTAACTAAATGAAAAAATACAAAATTATGATGGAACTAGGGCTGCTTATTCGAACATGTTCAAGTTTAAACGTTCGAACTTTTTCGCAAAAATTTCAACTTTCAAGTTTGAACTTTTTTCTCCTAATAGTTCAAGGTTTTAATTTTTAAAAAATGATATATCTTTTCATTAATTTATGTAAAACAAGTTGAAATATAAGTAAAATTTATAAATTTGAATATTTTTGCTTTTTTTTTGGTTTGTGTTTGTCTGGAAACTCTAAAAATATAATTAAAATTACATCACCTGTAGCGCCGTCGCATTTATTGTGGTATCGGTTTTTTCCTATTTAAAAGTAGTTAAACAGTACTTTTTCACCGTTTGACCACTGTTCAGTGGCGTAACTAGAGCGGGGGGGGGGGGGCGGGGGTAGGGGCTCACCGCCCCGGATGTCATCCACTTTTGGGTGACACTCAATTTATTAATATCTTATATTTTATTTTGGTTTATAATTAAACAGTCTTACATAAAAAAATAAGTGGGTATTTATTTACACGACCTACAAAATGCTGATTTCTGAAAGATATAGTTATCATTATTTAGAAAATATAATCGCTTAGCTTTCTTCTTATAATATAAACAAAATGGAATAAAGACTTAATGTCGTCTAAAAAAATTCTTCATAATCAAAACATACTCAAATTTTGTTTGTGTTTGGATAACTTTGTGTGGGTGCGATTTTTACCGTTTTTCACTTTATCAGCTTTCTTAGTCTTATTCGTATATTTTTTCAATGTTAGTACTGCATCACATTGCAGAATATCAAAACCATCTAATTCGAACTAAAACATTCGAAAACATATTCTTTGTTTATGATAACAATTTTAAAAACTTGCTATATTACATATTACTGAAAGTTTTATAAAATTTGCGCATAATTTATAGTGACTTTGTAATAGATACATTTTGAAACAATATCGTATATTATTAATTGTTTTAGTTTTTTGTTTTTAGTGCTTAATAAATACCATTTAATTTAAAAAGTTTTTAGTGCTTAAATTGTAAGTTTTAAAATTTTGTTTTAATATTTAGTTAAAATTTTTAAATATTTTATATAACAATGCCGCGTGGGGTGCATAAAATGAAGAGATTAAGTGGACATCAACAAAGAAAATTAAAGGAAGCTAAACTTAAATCCCTTTAAAAATATGCAGGGTCAATACTTCAATACATAGATAACCCAAATAACGGCCAATGTTCTTCAAAAGATAGTACTTTGATACAAACTCCATTAGTAGTAGAAGAAAGTGAAAATGAAGCTTCTAATAATAGCACCTTCACTGTTGACATAGAAAAAAACGACCAAGAAAATGAAGCTGAATCTCCACAAGTATTAGAAATCAACGATTTAGAGAAACATGATGGAAAAACTAACTTTAAAATCTTTTCTGACGTCTCTTTTTGGAAATTGCCGCTTCAAGACCATCTTCGAATTGAGATTATTAAAAAAGGGAAGTTCTACATTTCAAAACAAAGATGGACCATTTAATGTAGTACAACGAAATGTCACTCAAATGAAAGGCCATGATCGTCACCTTTCCTCTGAATGGTTTTATAAACAAATGAAAAATGGTGAAAAAATTTACGTTCATAGATCGTATATTCACCCAACAGTGGAAATTTATACTGTTTTTGTTGTCGATTATTTGCCAGTAATATTACCAATTTTACATCAAAATTCGTCACTGGATTTTAAAAATGGTGGAAATTAAATCCAAAAGTATATGAGCATGAATCTTCTTACAATCATTTGCAATTTTTGGAAAAATGGAAGATTCTGGAAACAAATTTAAAATCTAATAATACAATCGATGCCGAAATTATTTCTTTTACAGAAAATGAAAAGAAAAAATGGCGAAACATATTATATAGGCTCTTAGATGTAACTTTGTTTCTTGCTAAGCAAAATTTGTCATTTCGTGGACATCAGGAGGATGAATCGTCTTTGAATAAAAGTAATTTTTTAGAATTAGTGGATTTGCTTTCAACGTATGACCCTATATTAAAGGAGCATTTAATTAAATTAAGGGAAAGTTATTCCAAGGTTTCGTATCTTTCCCCAAAAATTCAAAATGAATTTATCAATTGTCAGGCAAGTCACGTAAAAGACAAACTCATTGAAGAAATAAAATCCATGCGATATTTTGGCATGATGTTTGATAGCACTCCTGATATATCTTATGTGGATCAAATGTCTGAGGTGATCAGATATATTAAAATTGAAAATAAAAAGGTAGAAATAAAAGAGGCATTTTTAGGATTTTTTCCATTAAAAGGAAAAAAGGCTCTGGACTTAAGTACTGAAATACTTAAACAATTAGAATCTGATGGGTTAGATATAATGATGTGCCGCTCCCAGGGATATGATAATGCTGCTACAATGGCTGGAACCCACGGAGGTGTTCAGAAAATTATTTCTGATGAAAATAATAAGGCAATTTTTAATGAATGTATTGATCATTCCCTAAATTTATGTGGTCAGCATTCTTTTGAAGTAAATGCATCTTGCGTCACATTTTTCGGAACAATTGATGCAATTTATTCATTTTTTGCTGCTTCTACGCATAGGTGGAAGTGTTAATAAAGCATACCAATATATCAGTGAAAAGACTGTCGACCATGCGTTGGAGTGCACATTATAACGCCGTAAAACCTCTTTAAGAGAATTTTGAAAAATTTATAGAAGCAATTTGTAGTACCAATGAAAATTTAGATACAAGAGGAGCAGCTGAATCTCTTTTGCCGGCAGTGTGTCAATATACATTTTTATGCTTTT